CGCACGCGCTACATGTACAAGTTTCCATTATTTTTAGTTTTTTTTGTTTTTTGTTTTTTTGTTTTGTTTTGTTTTGATATAGATAAAACAATCGATCATATTATATTTGAGTGACAACAAAACTAGATCCAGTTGAAAAATCTTGTTAGTCGACAGCGTATAGAGTTTTTTATCCATTCTTTTTAGTGTATAATTTAACGAACGTGTTTTTTTTTCCTCCTCTTTCACATATTTTTTTTCTTTTTAGTGGAAAAAATCACTTTTTGCACGATAGTCGCACGTGCACTCGCTCGCAACTTTACGGTTTTACATGTAAAAACGTTGAGAAATAATTGATTTGTTTTGATCTTGATTTATTTACTCTTTGTATACTTTTCTCTTAAAGCGTCGCTCATTTTCTCGTAAATTTTTCATCGTATGCAATTATTTTGCTCGCTTTGCAAATATCACTTACAGACTAAATAAATATTGTACAGGGTTTTTCGATTTTTGGGACTAATCATTCACTCAATAACGCCTCTTCACATTATTTTTGCGCTCAGCGAAGGAAAAACTCGTCAATCCCTTGGAAAAATTGAGTTAAATTAATTCGTTTTGTTATTTTGTTGAGATGATTAAGCGTTTCATTAATTCCATAAATCATCAATACTGAATTAATAACCGCTTTCTCACGTGCACATTTTAAACTTTGAAATATAATTTGTTTCGAAATATTTTTTTCAATTACAACCCTTAAATTTTATTATATAAAATAAAAGAGGCATTGTACGTAAAAAAAAAAAAAACTTTAATGTTGCAATTGGGTGTCATTCTTATCATAAATATTTGTAAAATAAAAAATTCAAGCAAAAACTCAACGAAGCAGATCGATTTTTTATTTTTAACATCCTTGTGACACGCGTATCGCAGTATTGATATTATTTCCATGGTAAGACTAAAAGAAATCTCTTCGTCATTGATTATAAAAACGAAAAAAAGTTTGCTTATAAACAACTATAAAACAAAGAAAAAAATAGAGAAAAAAAAAGAGAGAAAAAAAAGAGAACAACACCGGAAGCCTCGCGACGAAAGCTTCGTAAAAGAAAAAAACTTCCTTCGCTGCATGATTTCTCTCGGTTTCACGTGTGTAATAGCGCCCCGCCACGTTTAAGAATTATTATAGACAGTTTTACAATTCGAGTTCGTTTAAATTTTGCGGTATATATATGGCACTCATATGGCTGGCTAGTTGGGGCCTAGCCACGTAGGAATACGCATTTTCCCTATGTATAGATATAATATCGGTATTTGCGTTGCGAAATCGAAGCCAAGTATTATATTATCGAGTTACCAACATCGGAGACCCACACGCGCATTTTTACTTCATTGTCACTCCCTCCCGCTCTTCATTTTTCGTATACATGTAATACGGTACATTTCTCCTGTTGTCTTCATTTAATATTTTATACGTGCATTCTTGTTTCTCGGTATCGTTTCTTGCTTTTGTGATGCATCTCGCTCGATTGTTCCGAAAGAAAAAGGAAAAAAGGTAAACCAACGGGCTGTGGGAAATATTGCGAATGACTAAAGCGACTTTATTTATTTTTTGCTTTTGTACCATCTATCCCCCCCCCCCCCCCCCCCGTCCGTTCGCATGTTCATTCGGTCATGTGCATGCGCGTGTTGCAAATACTAATACACGTATAAATGAAGCTATTAGATATTTATAAATGTATTGTAAATCTACGTGATATTGCTGTTAATTTTCAAATAATAAAAAGTAATTAGCTATTAAGCACGCGAGTCCGAAAGTGTGAAATATCAGAATGATAACTGTATTACCCATTTTATATGTGTATATATATATATATATATATATATATATATATATATATATATATATATATAAATTAATTTTGCTATTAACTTTCTATTGTTAAAATAATTATAAATATGTATGAAATATAGACAAATTAAATTCATTTTTCAAAATCAACAACAATTTTAGTTTTAATTTAATCTTCGCAAGTTTAAAAACATACAATTATTTGTTTTCTAAATTTCTGCATCATTTTATTAAATATTTAAATCATGTTTTGCAAGGTAAAATAAAAAATTTCATAAGCCATTGCTGCATAAAATTGTACAAATTTGCATGATTAATGTATTATCTGTAGTCTTTGCGTAAACGGTCCTCACTCCTTCGTTTGAACATCGCGAAAACGTCACTACTATGGCATGTAATTAGCACAATTAAGAAATACTAATAAAATTGTAATAACTGAAAGAATATGATGTCTGAGTATCGACAAATTCATAACATGTCGAACGCTTTCGTAATGGCTTATTTAAATTATTTTTATGAATATTTGAATATTTTATGTGTTCAAAAATCTACTTTATTTATTTGTCAAATTGTTAATAGGCTTTTTTTTTATTATTATTTAAGGCACTAAATATATAGTATCGTTCGTTAATTTTCCTATTATACGTTATCTATTTTAATCGATTTCCATGTTTATTGCGTATACATAGGTTAATGCATTCTTTTACTTTAAAACATAATTTTTCGTAATTATTTGTATAAATTTTAATTTTGAATAAATATATAAAAATAACTTTTCGTCGTGATGAGATCGAATCGATGTAAATTAGAATTGATATATCGAAAAGATTGATAATCATTGTCTTTGCGAATAATATAACGGTATGCTTATAAGCAAGAAATAAACGAATGCTTATTTTTTACATAATAAAAATATTTAAATAAAAAACTTACATTTTTGCAAATATTAAATAATTATACCTTTAAATTTTATAATTCTATTTTCATAAATTGCTTTACAGTTCAAACTATTATTCGTAAATATAATGATAATCGCTGTGTAATGAAGTTGTGCGGTTTCAAAGTAAAAGATGCTGCCATCTATGTGAAGTCGAAGCAACCTAAACGAAGTTTTATGGAACTATGTAGCATACAATAATACATGCACTGTTAGCGTTAGTGTGGCCGTTCCGCATTAAGAAATAAATACAATTCTTTGCTAAGGCACACGATTCTACGAGAAAAATTCCAGAAGCAACCCAAAGGCACCCTAGTGTCACATCATTTACGAACTTTAATCGAACATATAACTTTATTATTAAAGAATTGTGTGAAAAAATTAACGTCTTTTAAAACCGAACTTTCACTTCCTCACCTTCCCTTATGACTGTCACTTTTGCAATATGGTTTATCGAATATCTCGAAATATACAATTTTTTACTGCCGAGATATTTGTCGTTTAAATTGTCATTTTTTTCGTTTTCTTTTGCCTCGATAATAATGTTAACGTAAGATCTGCGTATTCTACACGCTTCTATTATACACATTCATACACACAAATGGAAATATATACACGTATATATTTATGTATATATATATATATATTTTTTTTTTTTTTTAATTTCCGTAATTCCTAATTCAAATCAGCTTCCTTATTGTTTATAGTATACGCCGAATATACTTTATTATATATTTCTCTCGAATTTTTCCGCTTTTTGAGTGCTTTTCCTTCTTTCTTTTATCACCGTTATTAATTTTGAATAAGTTACTTGCTCTCCTTTACTTTATAGATCTTATCTAGTTTTCACTTTAATATCTTTAGCCATCGTTGCCTACATCCACTTTTCGTATTATTTTAATTTTTATCATTCGCTTCGTCTGGCAGCCTTTTTTTATTTTTCATTTTTTTTATAAATAAATCTTCACAATACTGTTTGTAATACGATATTCTACGCACATTTCAAGCGCATTTTCTATCCGCCCGAAGAGTGTACCTTTTTATTATTGTTTTCATCGTTATTTGCTTTTTTTAATAATACAATTATACAATGGTTAAATTCTACTTGGTTCACTGTAATGTCGGGTATTGCATTACTTACATACATAATTACATGCGCGAGGTGTGAGAAAGAGCGCAGGAAATCCAAATCGTCGCTTCTCTCCTTGCTCGTTTTATTATTATTCTTATTTTTTCTCTTAAACTCGTAATTAAATCAGTCGCCATGAACATTGAGAAAAGCAAATCTCTAACGCACCTTATCTTTCTATTCTTTCTCGTTCGATAGTACACACAATATATTTAAATAATCCCGATCTCGATCGTTATTAGTGACTTCCTCTCTATTAATTACAGAAAATAATTAAAATGACTCAGAGCCTCGAATCGTATACCTCAATGACAATAATAATAATGAAAAAAAAAATAATAAAACAAAAATAATAATAAAAATAAAAATAAAAATGACATAATAAAAGATAAAAAATAAAAAAAAAATAATAAACAGTCGACGAAGATCAACAATTTTATTCAGTTCCTCTTTATTTTGATCGTTGGTCGTCGTTATTTGCGTCGTGACAATTAGCTACTTACTTGACTATTAAAAACTCTACTCTTTATATGTATACGGCGCCTCCTCTTTATTACACTATTATTTATCTTAAAGACTCGTAGAGCATTCTTTTAAAAAAAGAACGTCTCTTTGAAAGTTATGCACAGTCGAGTAAAAATGTACATAGTTTATCTCTCTATCTCTTCACGTTCACAAAAAGTTTAATTACAAGCTACAACGCCTATACACTAGAAAATATTTATAGATAAAATCTGTACAAGAAGTATTTCAGTGTTCGTCGACTCATCGCAACCAATAATAATATTAATAATAATAATATCAATAATATTAATAATAAGATTAATAATATTGACAATAATAATAATAATAATATTATTAATAATGTTAATAATATTAATAATATTAATATTAACAATAATCGTAATAATCGTAATAATCGTAATAATCATAATCATAATAATAATAATAATAATAATAATAATAATAATAATAATAATAATAATATTAATATTAATAATAATAATAATAATAATAATGATAATGATAATAACTTCTCTTGACTATGAAACCCCGTCTGTTGCACGCGCACTGTCTCCGCCCCCTTGTCCCGTTGCCCCTTACCCCATTAGAAGAAGATAAGGGCCCGTCACTCGCGACCAGCCGCTATCAGTTTTTCTGCAGGCGCTGATATAGCTGGTCCTCCTCATGCTAAGCATCCATGTGACGGTATTTGTGGGCCGACATCTGGGCCAGTCCCAGCACCGCGTACTGGCACTGCAGGCAATGATAGTGCGTCTGCTTGCCGGAGTGCTGGCACTGGACGGCGCCGCAAGGTTGACTGGGCGTGAATTTCTGGAAGCCTGCCGCGGCGATGCTGTCGAGCTTCGCGTGCTGCCTCCTGTGGGCCACGACTTTATTCGTATCCGTGCAGACGAAGTCGCATTTAAGGCAGTGGAAGTGCGAGGCCTTGTTTTGCATGGAGCCGAGGGACGACGTGTAGGCGCATTGGCTTCTGCCACAAGGTACGTTCGCTCTGTACTGCTGGAAGTCGCCGCCCATAAGGGTGTCGAGCCTTTCGTGCCTAGCCGTGTGCTGGACGAACCGCGTCTTATCGCAGAACGAATAGCCGCAATCTTGGCGCATGCAGTGGAAGTGAGTCTGATGCTCCCGGTAGCCGCAGTGCGGGTACCGACAGTCTTCGTTAAAGCGGAAGCGGATGTAGCCTTCGGGCACTGGTTCGTCCTTGAGCATCCTCATCGAGTGGTGGAGTCGCTGCTTCTTCGCCTCCGGAGAATTCGAGTCTGGGGGCGAGAGCGAGCGCTTCGTCAGATTGAGGTTGGCAGCAAGCGAGGCCAGGGGATTCTCGTCCCTGCCGGGGGGGAGGAAGTTTCCCGGTGGTAGTCCGGGGGCGAACATGAGACCGGGCGCCCCGGCGTACATGGCACCGCCATGCTGGAGGAACGGCGGTAGCGCTTGGTTCATCAGGGCTATCTGCTGGTTCATGGCGGCCATGACGGCTGGGCTGGGAAAGTGGAAGCCGTGGCTAAGATCGAGCTCGAAGCTCGGTGGCCCTTGTTGGACGTTTGGCCCGGCCATGACTTGGGTCAGCTGTGGCTGCTGTCCGTTCTCGTGGTTGTCGATGATGGAGACACTGTTGACCTCGTGCGCCTCGGGCTGCTCCCTCTTAATGTTGGTCGAGCTCTGGATTTGCTGCTGCACCTGATTACCGGACTCGAGTTTCATTTCCTTCGAAGGTAGAGATTGCTGTTTGAGACTCTGTTGCATCTGCCGCTGCATCTGATTCTGAAAGTTTTGGATGTTCTGGGCTATCTGCACGTTCTGAGCCATAAAGTCGTGCTTCTGGGCTTGTTGCGAGAGTTGCGTCAAGTATTCGTGGTGGACCAGTTGTTGGTGGTTGTTCGCCGACTGTTGTTGCTGTTGCTCATGCGACTGCGGCAGTGGCGTCTGCTGTTGTTGTTGCTGCTGCTGCTGCTGCTGTTGCTGTTGCTGGTGCTGCTGGTGTTGATGCTGCTGCTGGTGCTGTTGCTGCTGCTGCTGTTGCTGTTGGGGCTGCTGCTGCTGGCTGAGGATCGCGCCTGTCGAATGCTTGGCAATGTGGGCCACGAGGCGGTCGAGCTCGGAAAATGCCTGATTGCAGGCGTTGCAGTGGTAGTGGTTTTTACGTTTCAGCTTGCAGAATGGGCGGCTACAGCTCTGCTCGGGCCCATACAGCGTATGCGACGAGGAAGACGAGGTCGGCGAGGTGATCGAGCTCGTCGATGGAGCCAGCTGGGTAGGCTCTGCAACCATAGATCATTTGTTATTGAGGTTCTTACGACTGTGTTGAGTATAGGGATATTGTCATTAGATGAACTTTTACGAAATAATGTGCGTCTGTCCGCTTGTCCGTGGAAATATCTTTGCACGTAAGTTTCTTAACTTGAAATTTGTGTAATATTCTCAGGCTCATTATTAAACTTTTATTATTAAAATCTTTATGCGAAACAATGATGAGACAATGCCAAAGTCTTATATCGGCTTTTTCATCATTTTTTTAAGATTTGCAAAAATCTCTTGAATCTCATTAGTTATTCTGATCGGCGACATAAGTTTATTAATTTTTTTTATAAAAGATATTTCCACGGTATATAGGAATAAGAGCAAAGCAATTTCAATAAAATGATTGATGCTCGTGTTAATTTAATTATGAAATATTAAATGTAGAAAGGAAAGTTATTTTAGCAAAGATTATTATTTAACTACTTCGTTTTATATTGAATCATCAAAATGATAAAATAATATTTGATTAAAATTAGTTGCTTCGTTTTAAATAAACGAAATAATGTATTAAGTAATTTAATTTTACTTGCTATTTATACACTAAAAATATTACTCATTAAATACATCGTACGAATTATAATTACAGTGCATTATAAATATTTTAAAATCACTGATCTGCATCATGCAAAAGGTCTTAATTTATTCCAATTTTAATATATCTTAATAATAATGTCTATAATTTTTCAATATCAATCTAATACCCAATACTGGCACAGATGAAATTTATACAAATCTAGCATCTATAAATACCTTAAAAAACAAAACAAGATTTATTATAGTGAATAAAAAGAAGTAGATAGATAGATTTGAGCTTGCTTTCATATTATTGTAAACGAAAAAATGCACTATGTATGAAAGAAGAAGAAAAAAATAAATAAAACGAGGAGAGAAAGATAGATCGACATAGAGAGTAAAAGATAGGGAAGGTTGGGGGATAGGGAGAGAGAGAGAGAGAGAGAGAGAGAGAGAGAGAGAGAGAGACACGCACGCATGCACGCACGCACAAACTACATACGTATATATGTGCGCGCGATTCGTGGGTGCATATACATGCATGCATGTGTGTATATAAAAAAGAAACTCTGTGTGCGTGGAGGGGGTTTAATGTGTGTTTATGTTTGTGTTTGTGTGTGTGTGTGTGTGTGTGTGTGTGAGAGAGAGAGAGAGAGAGAGAGAGAGAGAGAGAACTTAAACACGAACCTTGGTGCACGGAAGCTCGCATGGATAGTATGGCGCCCGGTAGTGTGGGTTCGCTCGGCGGTCCGCTGACCGGATAATAGGTGCCTGCCGCCCTCACCACTAGCAACAATCAACCAAAAACAACCAACACTTCAAATGTACGTCCCGACTCTAATTAAACAAAATCACGCACGCACAAATACATACACGCTCACACCTACTACCGAGTATACGTAGAAAAATTTTATCAGATCGGATTTTATTGTACTTACAAAATGTCGTACATTTTACATTTCGTATGCCACTGGAATTCGCTAGATCATCATCGTCATCATCATCATCATCATATATATATATATATATATATATATATATATATACATATTTGTTTTTGTAAAATCTTAATTAAGTGTGTAAAGATTGAAAAATTGCATGTTATAGATCATAAAAATATAATGGAAAATTCTTGCTTATAATGAATTTAAATGGTTTTGTAAATTATTAGCGTATTTCATAGATATGAATTTTGTAAAAGATTGATCAGAAATGTCGTGTAAAATGTGAATTTACTTGTCATTTGGATATTACCTTATATTTCTTCATGAATAAAATTATTATATTGCATTTCTTACTTGTTATATTTACAGAACAACATAAAATATAAATTTCCTTTCCGACAGACAGTGAGATACTTGACGTTAAATGCTTTATTGAATTTTGATTAAAGATCGATCTGTACGTATTACATGGTTGAAATTTTTTAAATCAACACTGACCATTCTTTAAAGAAAGTATACAATAGATACGTGCAAATTACATGCATACTTAAGTTCTAGCTACCGCTATATTACCATTAATTTATTTATCAGCTTGCGAATTAATATGGATTTTATTTCTTAATGTTTATAACGATATGTAAAATCATTGTATTCTCCATATCAATTTCTTAAATGTATATTTGATATCGACATTGAAATTTATAAGCATTTGATAGCCACGAGCATAAATGTTTGTAAGCTTACTATTTAATATTTAATATTCAAAAATCATTGTTCAATTATTTTGTATATTATGGATTAACTTTATATCCCCGTACTTCAATAAAGAGGTATTTACCGATTTATGACAAAAGTTATTAACTTGAGGCAGTGATAAAAAAATATAATTTAATATATAAAATATAAAATATAATACAAGGCAATATTTAACAACAACAATAATAACAATAATAAGAATTACTATAATTATTATGGTAGCGTTAGTAATAGTAGTGGTAGCAGTAGTGGGTGTGATGGTAATATTAATAATAATAATTACAACAGTAATAAAAATAAAAATAAAAATAATAATAATAATAATAATAATAATTGATAAACAATGAGATAATAATAAAATTTCATAAAGCTAAGGTAAATAATAGAACAGTAGCTAGATTTAAATGAATAAAATCAACCAGCAAATTACGAATATGTATAGTATAATATAATATATGTAAAAGTATCCTATCGAATGGCTTCAGTACGTCTGACAAACAAAAACCAAAAAACAAAAAAACAAAAAAAAACAAAAAAAAAAAAAAATGAGGAAAAAGGGAGAAAAAAATACCGAGCACTAATAAACTTGTACTAATTGATAATAAAAAGATACGATAAAACGTCTCTAAATCGTGCAAATCCAACAATTAGAGTAAGTCCAGAGGTGTGCTCACCCGTAGTCTTATTACTACCGTCGCCGGGGCTCGCGAGCTCGAGGTCTTTCTGCTCGGCCCTCGCCTCATCGAGACTCTCGCTGAGCTTGTCGATGAGCTCCGCCGGGTTCTTCACGTGTATCCGGGGCTTCGTTTCCTGCATCATCGTCTCCTCGGCTACGGACATGCCCTCGTTGTGCTGCTTCTCGTGCAGCGCCATCGTCGAGTAGCGCACGAAAGAATATCCGCAGCCCGGGCGCGTGCAGTGAAAATGGCGATTGACGCGATTGCTGTGGCATCCGGGGAGTCGACAGTCGACCATACGATCGAAGAACGCAAATCCCGGCGGTATGTCCACGTTGTCGTGGAAGTCCTTGCTATGCATGAGTAGCTGGTCCGGGCGGTCGGTTGAGAAGTGGCAGCGCGGCTGCGAGCAGTGGTGGTGCCTGCTCGAGCGCAATGCGCAAGAGAGATCCGGACAAGCATCTGCGGAGAGGTCGATCGTTTACGTTTTGTTCATGTGCTGTTTGGTACACGCGAGTATTTTTTTTTTTCTTTTTTTTTTCTATCTTTCATTTACATATATGTATATTATTGCGCACAGAGTCGGGGGTCTTGAAATTTGGAGAATTTTTACCTGTCTTTTAACGGCATTAATGCGGCTAACTTAATTAAGCGCGCCTCGATTACCTTGAAAAAGCGTAAAATCTGTATATATGTAAATACCTTGATTGTAAGTGGAGAATCCAACGGGATCTCCATTGGTAGGTGAGAGGCTGCCTTCCCTGTCGTCGCCGGGCATATGACAGGGCGTGATGGTCATGGTGGTGGTAGCGGTGGTCGCTGCGGCCGAGGGCGTTGGTTTTGGTAGCTTGAAGCTAGTGAATATCGCCTGGGGCGAATCTTGTGTGTGGCTCGTCGGATCGCCACCACTCCAGATCTCGATGACTCTGTTCTTGGGCGGTCGACCTCGCTTCCGCCTGAACATCGCGTCGATGTTGGTCAAGTGGGTGAGGGTAACGTCCGAGGACAGGGGATGCGAGGCGCACGAGAGGTTGAGCTGTCTACTGTACTCGTGGATTTTGTAGTGCTGGAGCCTACGAAAGGGCTTGTCTGTGGCGAGGATGACCTCACGACAGTTCTCCCAGTTACAATGATAGTGCTTCTCCTTATCGGCGTAGGGGCAGATCGACTCTTCGCAGCCCCCCTCCTCGAAGAAAGCGTCGGTTATGCGCTCCTGGGTTTCGTGCTCGCGCAGATGTTCGCGAACCTCGCGGGGATCGCGGAGAGTGGCGCCGCACCGATCCAGGGCGCAGTGGTAGTGATCCTTGCCGAGCCCGCAATTACAATCCACCGGTGCCGGCATCAGATAGGCTATATACAAGGAAGAAATATGTCAATAGTTGTTTTGCATTAGTGGCTCTGTAATCTGCGTTTATCATATTTCGCGACTCTTCTTGGCACGCAGCCGAAGGATACACTCGGTCGTGTTCGTCGGATCTCGTTGTGCGCTTCACGACGATTCGAAGGAGTAAAATTTACTTACGATTCGGCAAGCGATATTTATTACGACGTTGTATTTGGAAACGTGGATGCTTGTTTGAAGAAAGCTCGATGATTTTGTTTCGAGTGCTTGACTTTAGCATTTACCAATTCATTTCGCTTTAATATTTTTATTTTTATTTATTATTTGTATTTATTTATTTATTTACTATTTTTTTTTTTTTTTTTTTTTTTTTTTTTTTTTTTTACGGAAAGTTAAATTTAAAGGTTGATTTAATAAGGTACACGAGTTGCGAAACTCGGGATTCCGTAATGTGTATGTCGGTTGTGTGCTGTGGTAGCTTAGGAGTATCGAGTGTCGATGAATGAATGCTGAGTGATATGTCAATGATATGGATGACATGAATAGTCCAGTAAGCAAGAACAAAACCATCGGATGGAACGAGCAGCAATTAATGAGAACAGTTCATTATGATAAGTCACATTCCATCATAAGGCGTATACACTTTGTTAAAAGTGTTTGCATTATTAGTAAGTGCAGTTCGCAGGCCAAAGTGGCTTCTGCTTCTCTCGCTAAATCAAAATCATTTATTTATTCACCTAATTCCGTGGAAGTGAGCTGCTGCTGGTGTTCGACACCACCGGCTCCCAAGATGGTCATTGTCGTTGCCGTGAGGTCCATTGCGAGGTCACTGACGCTCTGGAAGGAATCGTCCATTGAGTAGTACGAAGGCGAGCCGCGATCCTCGTTGGAGCTCTCGCCATTAAGACTGAGCGACAGCCCTTGGGGCCCCATTTCGTCCGGTGCCCACGAGCCTGGTCCTCGTATACCGGAGCCGCTGCTGCCACCACCGCCACCGCCACCTCCACCACCACCGCCGCCGACGCCACCGCCGCCTCCGCCCCCGACCTGCTTGTACTTCCGGTAGGCGAGCTCCGAATCGTTACGCTCGTGTTTGCGCTTATGAGAGAAGAGTTGCCCCGAAGAATGAAGGACGTAGCTGCACTGCGGGCGGATGCAGTGGATGTGATTGCAGACGCGGGAAAAGCGACACTGCTCGAACGGACAGGCCTCGGACTTCATGAACTTCTTGAAGCCGTCGCGTGACAACTGCTCGTCCTTTATGTGGTATGACTTGTGCTTGTCTGTAGAGAAAGAGACATGAGTACTCGACTTTTCCAATTCTATGAGCAAATGAGACTAATTCAATGATGCGTGATTGATTATTATTTTGCATTGCAGTTTTTAAATAGTGTTTTCTCTTTGCATTAGACATAAATCAGCTGTAATTATTTGACGCGATATGCGATCGTGAAGAATTTTAACATTTCAGTGAACAGAAAAGCTGCGGATGTACAGAACCAATTTTAGCAATGAAAGTTTTAAGAGATCTCGATGAATTATAAGAGGACGTGAGCAATTAGTTTGGAAATAGATATACATTAACCAAGGATTGAAACATTTGCTCGTTCGTTCGTTCGTTCGTTCGTTCATTTTACAATGCATGTACATAATAAAGTTATAGCTGTGGTGCAATTGCAAAAAGTTTTACGAGGGGTAGGTAGCGCATTATCGTCGGATGCTAATCGAGATTGGAAACCATCGGAGACAACACGTATCCATCTTGCTCTCTAAATTTTTAAGAGCGAGTTTTTACATATTGAACTGCGCGTGCGATACTGAACAGCCAGCCGATCATCCTTACCGCCACTTATGTCTCAAAAAACTCTCCCCCCCCCCTCTCTATCTATCTATCTATCTATCTATCAATCAATCAATCTATCTATCTATCTATCTATCTATCTATCTGTCTATCTATCTCTATATATCTCTATCTCTATCTCTCTATCTATCTATCTCTCTCTCTCTCTCTCTCTCTTTCTTTCGTTAAATCTCGATAAATGAAAGGCCAGCGCGAAAAATTTAGAGAACAAGGGGCGTCGCTGGAGGGTAGGAAGGTCATCGGCCTCACCCATATCAGCCTTGTTCTTGAACGTGTATCGACAGCCGGTCCTTCGGCAGTGGAAGTGCGTCGTCCTCTGGCCGGCAAAGGGACAGTGCTCGGTCGCGCAGCTCTCGGTCGCCCGGAACCTTTGGAAGCCCTCCTGGATGATGGCCGAGTCCTTCCTATGATAATTCGCGTGCATCTGCACATCCGAGGTCGATATATAGACCTTGTCGCAGTTCTCGTGGATGCAATGGTAATGGGTTTGCTTGCGATTGTGGGGACATTGTCTGCCAGGGTGGCGGTCGGCGCAGTCGTCGGTCGGCGAGTACCTCATAAAGCCGTGCTGAAGCGACTCGTCGCGCTTCTTGTGCCATTTGAAGTGCCGTATCATCTCTTCCTTCTTTACGAACACGCGGCCGCTGCAGTCGAGGCAGTGGAAGTGCTCGCGACAGCCGAGGTCCTTGCAGTACGAGCTTCCGCACTCCTGGCCACTGCTGTAGCGGCGCACATAGCGCGAGTAGTCGATCATCGGCTGGGGTAGGCCTCCTCCACTGCCCCCGCCGCCTCCGCCACCGACACTGACACCACCGCTACCACCACCACCACCACCACCACCGCCACCACCACCACCAACTCCACTGCCGGCTCCTCCGCTGCTTCCTCCACCGCTGCCACCACCGCTGCTGCCGCCTCCGCCGCCGACGCCGCCGACGCCGCCGCCGCCTCCACCACCCCCGGAGCTCGTCTTCGTGCCGCCGGGAGGAGTCGTGCCGCTCGAGCCGATGAGCGCCTCCGCGGAGACCGGCGACATACTCTGACGCAGGAGCGCTGCAACCGAAAAGGCGTTTCTTTACTTGCTTCCTTCGTAACCTTTTCGTACGGCATCGTTGCTCTTCAGTTTTAATTACTGGCAACGATGGCATTGCATTTAGGTTTATTTATTTATACGTAGCTATACGTGGCTGTATGTGGTGCACGGGCTGCGGACCAAAGCTTGAATCGTTGCAATTTTTGCGTGACAAATATAATAATGGCGATAAGGTATATCTACTGGACGATATGGATTCTGGCTCAACGGTAACGCACCTTCGTTAATAATCGTCCGATTAATTTCTCTTTTACTTTGCATTCGGTTACTCATTTTCTCTCTTGAAAATATTATTCTAATACTTCTAATTTCTAATTGCTATATTATTGTGCTGTTCGATGAAGTGCCGTGCATTGGCGATACCACACCAGCATTCAAAATTCTACTAGTCTCTTATTCTTTCATTCTTTTTTTCTGTTCTTTTTTGTCTTTCATTTTGGAAAATCGGCGTATATGACAATACTTTTAATAAGTCATTCTAAATATGCAGCATTACTGTCTTATCATGAATTTTGAATAATTGAGAATTGTTAACAATGGCCCGCGCTAATACATTGCACGAACAATTTATGGAATTGAAGCGCATAAATTCATTATCATATACATTGATTTAAATTTTCTCCTTTCGTTTTTTAATTTTACTTACAAGCTATGGACCGGCGAATAAGATGATAATTCATGTGCTTATTCAATTTAGTTAGTAGATAATTAAAACTCCTTCACATACGCAATGCTATTTAGTTTTTATTCTTTCAAGAAATAATGATTTATTTGAAGAAAAAAAAAACGTAGTAATTTTTAATAATTTTATTAAGAAGTTCATACAAGCAAATAAAAAGAAACAGAAAAAATAAGACAAAAATTAAATTCTAATACTAAGATGGAGACATGTCAGTCGTATTTGCAAGAAACTGCTTAAGAGATTATGTTGTATAATATAACAAAATTATGTAGTATAGATACAAGATATAACACACATTTTACATAAAATTATGCATTACATGTAAATAAACAAACATTTACAATAAATACACAATGGTAAGTTAAGGATACTTTCGTATCAAATAATAATCGTCGTGAAATTCATTATGTCCATAAATTTTTAACTATTATATAAACAATGCAAATTGCGTGCATACTTAATTTCCCATATACAATTAGCGATTAATAATCAATTTTATGAATATGAATTATTAATACCATTCGATTTATCAAAATCGAATACGATGGTTCCTGTCTCGGTCGATTCCGTGCGTACATACATGTGTTTTATGCTTTTTTTCTGTATTTTTTTTTTTTTTTTTTTTTTTTTTTTTTTGTTTTGTTTTGACAAATAGAGAAACTCGAATAAAGAAACCGTGTGTCTTTTAAAGAAAATTTTCTTGCTCGAGTAGCACAGTCTTCTCTCTAGTAAAAAAATAAAAAAAAAAAAAATGGGAAAAATAATAATTATACCGATGCTTAGTAAAATGTTTCATAAACATTGCTACTAACGTAATAATAAAGGGTAATTATATCGATTTAGCATTTTTGGCCAAACGTCTGACATGAAAATGAAAGATTTCGAACTGCATTACTATCCGAGCCGGTTGATAATGATGCCAACCTCGATGTCGGACAGCTCTCGCTCGATAACTGTCTCCGAAGGTCTGTCGACTGAAAAATTTGATCGATCGTCCGCCTGGCGTCGCCTCTGCCCATGCGATCGTGATACACGCACGAGAAATTCTGTCATGCAAATTAGGCGAACCCCGTCCATCGACCTACGTGACAATGGAGACTACGGAAAGCTGATTAGTCAGTAGTTTTTTTCCCTTTTCTCTCTCTTTCATTTTCTTTTCTTTTTTCTTTTCATTTCTTTCTTTTTTCTTTCTTTCTTTTTTTTTTTTTTTTTTTTTTTTTTTTTTTTTTTATATTATAATGCACACCGAATGTCTTGCATAATTTTGCATCGTAGCGGAAACGAAGAATTCCTTAGTGCAGAATTTATTGTCGACGTATGGAGCGGGCCAGAGAATATGTTCGGCAGAGAATTGGTTTGTCATCGTAATTTTGCATGTAAATGATAAGGCCTTATAATATGATTTATAATATGATAATTATTTCTTACGGCGTGTGCTTTTAATGGTGACCGATTTTCAACTTTTACTTTGATTCGAATGCGACTACGTTATATATTGTCATTTTACACTTACTTGCATATGAAAATATTAATTGGACGATTTAACTATCAATGTATTTCTAGTCAAGTAATTGTGTACGGATGTAATCGTCATCATTCGCACATATGTCCAATTATCATATAATCTTTAAACAACGTAAGGTTTATCGTATTATCATTAATTGCCCTTGGCTTTTTCTTTCTTACCTTTCTTTTTCTTTTGTTCTTTTATTAAGGTCCCAGGTATTTTATATTTAATCTTTGTTAATTTACAGGAATTCGGAAATAATTGCTATTATTCATAGCATGACTTATATATAAAAGAAAGAAAAAAATCCCAACAAAAAATAAATAATTCAATATCCATCAGAATAATAAAATTCGGTAAAAGAATGATAGTAAAAGGAATTCTAAAAACTTAATAAGATCTAATAATTCTTTGGAATATTATGTAGAAAAATTAACGACCGCCAAAACCATAGCAAGAAGCAAAATGTCACTCAAACTGCGTCCTCGAACTGCTAATTACAAGGTAGCAGAGCAAAAAATTTAGCGATTTAATCTGTCTCGGAAATATTTCAGACTATAAATTTAAAAGAGGGGAAGAGAGAAACTAAGAGAGAAGGGAATCCTATGGATGCGGGTACAATACGTCGGACTTTCAAGAATTCATTATGAGCTTAGCCATGAAGATTTCTTTAGGCAACTTCCAAGGTTTCCCCAAAACTACAGCTACGACCGATCATTTAAAAATGTTCACAAATGCAACGAATCTAACATTGGATCAGCACGAGAAATATGCCAAAAATATTAATATCTCTGTATTTATTACATTTTAAACTCCAAATACAACATATAATTTCCAGCTATGAATTTTAAGATAATGATCAGGAGTCCTTTCAAACATTTTTTTTCACTAGCAATCGCTTTTAATGCTTTTAATTTTGAGTAAGAACGTATTCAGTTCAGTAGAAACAATGCAGTTTTATCACTAATTGAAAGTACGAGCAGTGACAAGAGAAATTATAATTATATTCAGATATAATCTATAATGTCGACGTTGCTTACAACACACTTTCTATGTCAAGTCAATATAATACAATTGCTTTTTAATTTCCAAAATTAATAATTCCTGAACAATCGTTGGGATATACCATGCGGGGTAATTAAAATCGTCATAAAAAGTCAATTTCATTTTATCGATAATTCAGCGCTGTTAATTCTATAATAAATTCAATCGTACTTTTCCTCAAACGCCGCCAAGCTTCCGCTTCTTTCTCTTTATCTTTACTTTACTCCAGTCCATACTGTACGCCTTCAGTTCTCTCTCTCTCTCTCACACACACACACACACACACACACACACACACTCTCTCTCTCTCTCTCTCTCATTCTATATATATATGGTTTGCATATATATGCATATATATATATAGATATATGCAAACTCAAGATGAAAAAAATGAAACGCGATCGCAGAAAAATCTTACGTAGACGACGCATCATCCGCACAAAAAGTTCGCTCGTAAAACTTCAACAGCGCACATATAGGGCCGATCAATACAGGCGATTATAATATGCAAAGGCGCACATGCCTAATAAACAGTATCGCGGGATTATTGAGAAGAGGGGGGAGGGACGTGCGCCGTGAGATCGGCGCTATCGATAATACGGGATATGTATGCGTGCATCGGCCTCGTGCATTGTTTCGCGACGCGGTGCTGAAATACTTTTTTCCCCTCCTTCTGATTCTCTCATCTTCGATGCTGCGTGGTGAGTCGGCGGCCCACCTTTGCAGCGTTGAGGGGGCGAAGGGAGGGAAGGAGCAAAGGATCATCGATTGCGACTTCCGTCGTAAATCGCGAAATTTTCTTCTTGGGTAATTACACGCTTTGGAAAATGGATGAGCTCGAGCGGCATGCATAGTGCCATTGATTCAAGACGAACGCTGATGTATTAACATCTCTCTCTCTCTCTATCTCTCTCTCTCTCTCTCTCGTCCTTCCTGCTTTCCTCTCCGCTCGCTATCACTCTGTGTTCGTCTCTTTCTCTGTCCGTGTCTCCCGCTGTCTCTCTCATTGTGCATACGTGCATGCGTGTGGGCTTTAATTTAACTTATTTTTGCAAAGTTCTAGAAAGTTTGGAGAGAAAGTTTTAGAAAATTTCCTTGAATATACCTGGTGAAATATTAAATCTTTATGTGATACACGAAAATATTAATTCAACCAGTCGAGATATATTCAGAAAATGATTTTTTATCATTAGTAGTTGTCTAGATTGTAGTTGAATACGCAATTAGAAACTACAAATATTTTTAAAGTAAATTTATGGAAAACAAAAGTCTTTTCACGGAATAAATCAGATGTATTATATATGTTTACATTATTTATATGTATATATATATATATATATATATATATATACCATACGTTTACGTTTCTACTATACGAATCTTTTCAAACGGTCCATCACTATATATTTATTGTATTAAGATTTTAATCATCCGTTATTAATACTGAAATTGAATGTAGGCAATAACGAGTAAATAGGAAATAAATGAAACAAACAGTGCTCGCTGTAATTTTGCTCTTTCTTATGTACGAAATCTAAATACAATGCAAAATGGCACAATATCAATAAAAACCAATGAATTATTTCAACAATGATGTCGATATAAGCTATTTATAAAACAAACCTAAATTCTATAGTCTTTTTTCACCTCAATTATTATTAACTGTGGCCCCCATTAGTAAGCCAGCAATATGGAACGAGAAAATAAATATTGCATACTAATACGTA